CGTGTTAGCTAGCTATATCGCCCGATAGTAAATAACCCAATTCGAATTGCTAGCTAGGTATATCGGGTAGTATATTGAGTTAGCTAGCTAGATCGCCCGATAGTCGATATTTTTTTTCTCCTTGGGAGTAATAAAGTATTATCGAAAATTGCTAAATATGCAAAATCGTCATTCATTATGCGAGACACCGATCGAACTAATCAATATTGCAAGCTACTACAGCATCCGGTGTGTAGATGTTTGAATAGCACAAAATTGAAACAGTTTAGTGTTGGACTTCTGTTGACCTCTTTGGGATTCTATGCGCTATTTCTTGGTTTGTTTACATGGGCTGTTTTGAAAACACCTCAACCTCATCATATCTATGAAGAAGCCGGATTCGCATGGAGTACTTCTTGTGAAACGGTCAGTAAAAAGATTCAAGAAGAAAACATTTATAAAAAAGATAGTATTGATAACGGATTGAAATATTTCCTATACATTTTGCTTTGGATACACATTATCAAAGGTCTAGCACTGTTTGCTGGCGTCTATCGAATCAAAACAAAGGTGCTGTTTTACATGGAAATTGTGGCATTAGTGCTCAGTTTCGTCTTTCTCTACGATCAACCGTGGCAAAGTTCGATTCAGTTAAAATGCTCGACACAGTTTCAGATTGGTGCATTTGCTCTATTTCTCGGCTGGTTAACCCTGTTGGCATATCTACGCTCGATACCCGGTTTTGGTATCTACGTTGTGATGCCTGAAGTGATCGTTGAAAGATTTATATGGTTTTTTCCGATGTTGATCATTCTTGTGTGTAGTTTTGGCTTCACTTTTTACACGCTCATGAGAAACCAAGTTGTATTTAAAACCATTTTCCTGTCACTGGTGAAATCAGGTAAGCAGAATGGGACTGAAATTGGTAAATGGTTGTTTCTTTGTCGATTACTCTAGCACTTATGTTATCTGAACTGACTTATGACGATCGATTTTTCGACGATACCGATGAAAAAAGTCGATTTTATCAAATTACCATTTTGATGTTTATTATCTTTTTTATTATCATGGGCATACTGGTCAACAACTTATTAGTCGGTAAGAAAACTTTGTTTTGAGTTGTGATGAAAGACATGTTTCCTATCAGCTAACTTAAGGATGAATAAATTATAGGATCTTATTTGTTAGTTAAATTTTGATATTTTTAAGGTTTGGCCGTGGGTGAAATCAGTGAGCTATTGCAACAGGCCAGATTGCGTAATTCAATAATTTTACAAGAATTACTGAATGATTCTGAATTATTTTATCTACAATATCTGCCATGTATTCCCAAACACATTGTTCTCACATTACAAAAAGACAAAACAGACAGCTGGTGGAGAAAATTTTCAGAATGGTTTCAAAAGAATTGGATGCTGAAAACGTATTAGATGACACTGTATTTAACGCTTTAATCATGATTTATCTCTAGTTTATACAATAGAACCCATCACGGTCCATTTTTTATGGCACATTCACTGGCCAATCCCAAAGTTTTTCGCTAGAATCGTGGAGTTTTTGAAAAAAAATTATTCCGAACTAGTCCTTTGGATTTGCTATACCAGTGGACTTTTCTGGTATGCATTTACTGAAAAATGTCATAATTAACTTTTATCTTATTAATTTTTTTATGTTTGTAATTTTATTGAACTTTTCGTTGCTCTGATCAACTGACAATTCTAACATTTCTTCAAGAATTTAGTGGTACTATCTCTTCAGAGAACTTATAGCTTTTTCCGATAACAAACAAATAGTGATGGTGGAGATGGAATAAAAAGTCTTAAAGTTGTTGCGATGCTATTTGACATTGAATGTCAGATAGCATCGTGTTAATGAGTCAGAAATAGTTCAACACTTGTTAGTTAGTAACAGTAGTTGTAGTATTCAATTTGAGAAAAGTTTAATTTTTGATAGGGAAGAAAGTAAACGTCGTAGAAAAATATTAGAAGCAGTTCATCCAATAGCAAACAAATCATATAATAATAAACGAGTGATATGTAATCAGTGGTAAGCTAGTATCAGTAAATGAATAAGGGAAAAATCAGGTTGTCTTTTTAGAACAAAAACAGTAAATTCAAATATTAATAGTCATCATATTAGTCATCATTATAGTCAAATAAATAGTCATAATATAGTTAGTCAACAAGTAATTTTAGGATTACAACAAAATGGCAAATATAGTCTAAGAGCACAACCAAGAGCTAAATATAAATTTCAACCAGTAAATAATTTTATGTTAGTTTTTGACAATTCTACTTATTATTTAATTTTCACTTTTTGTACAGCTGTTATTTCATCTATTCACCACAATGTTAGTCACCATGATATTTTGGCTGCTCATCTTTATGCATATTCAATTGTAACTTTCACAATCATCACCTTATCATCTTTTACTATACTTATTATTTATTTCTCACATATCTTTTTAGACGTATGTCATATCTCTCTGATTACTGGATTTCAGTAAGTGTAATTTCCAAACATCATCCTTTTATACATCACTATTTGCAGCTGTTGAACACCCTTCGCGCACATTTTTAATGAGCTCTCGTATACAGTGTGTTCTTTTCTGCAATTACTTGTTATTCATATAATTTATACTACTGAAGAAGGAGTCGGTTTATACTTCGAAACGTTTAGCAGTTGTAAATAAATTTATAAAATAAAATAAAATTCTACGAGGAAAACGAAATTAAAGTTAAGTATGATTTCCTTATCATATTATCCACAGAGCTGCTCACACGTGATGCAAACAAAGAGAGGAGCGAAAAAGCGAATAAGTGAACTTGATCTCAAACGCTGTTTGACTTGATTGTCGAACTAGTTTTTGAGATTTAAAGTGTGACTTGTCGCAAAGGTTATTACCAATGGAAAAATCGAATGTGACCTTGTTTGACGTAGATGACTATATACCCTCAATTTGTCAAATAAGGTCTCGCGATTGGTGCTCCGAAGAGGTTACAAAGTGTCGCAATTACATTTCATCTAGAAAACTAAAGTAATCTCTGGGATTTGACCGAATGACTGCTGTTCACATATGTGTTCATGAATCATCGGTACAGAGAGAAGGCTTACCTTTTCTAAGATGCCATTCATGATAGGCTGCGCCTCTTTGCTAACTTGTTCGCCAAGCGATTTATCGGGCAACTCCACAACGTTGATTACATCTTCCATAGCGGCCAGTTCCATATCTAGAGGAACTTTCACCGGTGTCAGAATACGAGCAGACAATAGATCCAGCACTTCCTGGCGTCTAATACGAAAAGTCACAGTTGAACAATCATTTAACTGTGATTTTTAATTTCACTTTTATATTCTGTATTTTTTAGGGTCAAAAATCGGCTAAAATCACATGTTTAGCTCTTCATAAAGTAGTGAACATATTGCTCTGACAATGTTAGATTGTCTCGAGCTAAAACAGGCTGATCATATTCGATTCTCTATCCATCGTGAATCGATCCTGTATTCGCATTTTATGCTTGTTTATATATTGGTACACTCAATAGTGGACAATTTGCTTTTCATTATTATCTTGTCTAACATTCTCTATTTATTTTGTACAGATATGATTGAAAATAGTAAAGAATAATCAAGAACAATTGTATTATCTCGATTTTAGTATGTTAAGAACAGGAACATTACCGGCGTCAAACTAAATGAATTCAAAGAACCAAAAAATACTTAGAAAACCCCAATTGCTACTATATGAAAATATCAAGCAAAAATAAATTAGTCTGTCAAAATATCTCGAAACTAACTAATAACAGCCGTTTATGGTGGGAAAACGATCATATCACCGACATGAAAAAAAGTTCATTCAGAGCGGATAATGAGTGGGTTTTTGCATTTACTATGGTTGATAATCTCGTGGTAATTGTTATTCAATAGAAAACTAGGGTACTTTTGCCTCGGTAAACAGAATGCTGGGAAAATTTAGCGCTATGCATAAAATTAAATGAATGTGCCGGCAGCATGAAGTTTATAATTTGATATTAACTTTTTTCTAGTCACATTCTATACTGTTCTTATCTTTATGGTAGATTACGGCGCTCCTGTTGATTAGAGTAGAAGCCAATGATTACGCTCAATATTTAGCTTATCGCATATAACAAACTTCGGTAAAATTAGCCTGTTCTTAAGCTGCACGCATAAAATCGAACATGTTCTAGCACGTAGAATAAGAACAAAATAAGTCAAGGAGAGCACTTTTCCATCGTCTTCGAAGAAATGCGCGTGACCATAGGAAAGGCTCATGACTTATCAACTGATTTTCTTTAAACGCGAGATTATTACCCATGCAGAACGCCTGGACGCACACACTAAACGCATAAGCACGAAGCGCTAGAAGAAAGGCATAAGTTAGCATGAGTTTTCCATTTATTTGGAACTCTTTTCTCAGCAATGATTACATCGTCTTTTCCCGGACTTTTCTTTGAGAAGGTGATGTGATCAAGCCTTGCCATAGAAAAATTTCTGTGTACAAGAAAAAGCTATTTCAGTAGAAATCATGGCACAGAAACCAAAAGTATTGTTCTGTCATCAAACTCGTTGAATAATAGATGAGCTTCAAATTTAATATGAATACACAGCAAACAAGACGTCAAAGTGCTACCTATTGTCTATTATTAATCTGTGATTTCTATGAAAAATCCTTTTAAATGAGCGTGGAGCAGCGCTGTTCTTTGTTTTCTTAATGAAGTCGATTTTCATTCACTTTTATTTTAACTTTTCTTTATTTTTGTTTTTAAACAAAAATAAGTGTGAACAAACAATTCCGAACCTTGACGAGATTATCGATGTGGATGCGTCGACCGAAGATGAACATGCATATAGTTACTTTGTTATCATTCATGTATTCGAGCACTGCGTGTAGGACAGCGAAGCTGTCGTAGCCATTTTACATGATGTTCTTACTCGCACTAAACGCGTTGACAGTAGCATAAAAAATGCTTATATCCGTTCCGACAACGCCGCCTGCTATCACTCGGCACAAATGATTCTCTCGCTACCTCAAATCTCTGAAGAAACCAAAATCGATATCCGTCGCATCGACTTTTGTGACCCTCAAGGAGGTAAAAGTCCTTGTGATCGATACGCGCCCGTGATCAAATCGCATGTGCGTCGCTTCCGCGACGAAAAGCACAATGTAACCACCGCAGTCGAATTTGTTGAAGCAATTTACACCAATGAAGGCGTTCAAGGAGTTTACGCGTACGAGACTCAATTGGACAAAGTGACCAGCGGTCCTCTATTCCAACTTGCCAAAATTAGTCTCTTGTTTTTGAATCTAGGAAATCTCGTGAACCATCTGGCTACTGGGAAACATCAGCGTCTTCCAGAACGTACTTCATTACGGGACAGCGGGGTGCAAGTTTACGCTTCAAAACTCGAGAGAATTGGTGAAAGAGAATCCGTCTCCGTCTCCGACATGAATTCTCAATGGGCTGGTTGACCCTCTCTTAATATCACTAATGTGATTTAATTAATGATTTATTAGCTACTTTTGTATGAACATGAGAGTCTTATTCATGCAAAGTATGCGAATTGGTGCAAGAATAATCGCTGAGCTAGAAGCACTACAAAAAAGTCATAATTTAACATTTGTTTATATTCATTTGGTATTTTTCCTGTAATATCTATTAGAACTTGATGATTAACAGAACTTTTCTCTGAAAACACGATGCAGTTGTTTTGTGGAGACTTTCTCCACTCTCACCACGCGATAATCTTTATCTATGAAGGAAAAAAGTTGTTTCAACGAAAAACTCAGGATTGTTCAAAGTGAGAACATAGCAGTTTTAACTTTCTGTATTTTTTTTCTGTATTTGTGCTAGAACTTTGCCGCATCTGAGCTCGACCCAAGAAAAACTCTCGTATAAGTGTTGAATGTTTTATAAATCTTTGCTATATTCACAACGTGAAAACCAGGTTGAGCAAAACTTAGAATAAACTACGGAACATATTATTGTTTTTGTGCAATTTTTGTCTCCACACAGCCTTTGTAAACAAAAAAGCTGTCAACAACACAGGTGAAACGTCGAATTAAGTATAACAAGTATAATCTTATACTTCTATAACTCTATATATATTACTCTTATCTCCTTCAATTACATGACATCCCGTTTGACTGTTTCCTATATTCTATGAACAACTAGTTACAATATCCTTAAATAGTAGTTAAAAATGTAAGACTGGATTTATTGTCTTAAATGGAAAAAGCACCCTTCACTCTCTAAATAGTACATTTTCAATCTTAGGCTTTATGAAGTTGTAAGTCTGAGAACAAAACCTTGTTTTTTATACACATATAAAGAAATGTACAAACCATTACGATTATGCATTAACAGAAAACAAGAAACACACATCATTTTAATCAAAAACAATCAAACATCAGTTTGATCATTAGTATCTGTTTTAACAGATTGACTATAATCATCCTCATTTCGAGGCGTTTTCTTTAGAAAGAATACACCTCGAAATGAGGATGAATATAGTAATGATACGAACGAAAGAATAGACGACATAACTGATGTGGCTATAATTCATCTCGGTAATGACATTTTATAATAACTAATGGAGAATGACGTAGTGCTTGGAAATGATGAATTATGGTTTCAATACACATTTTAAAATTTCATTATTTGAATTATCTTCAAATATCTTCTGATACAATTCAGTTACACTGAAAACAGTTTGATGAAATTTGTTTCCCGTTGTTACTTCAATTTGTTTCAACATGAATGCATTTTATCTACATTGTGGATCAATGAATAATACCAATTGGAACAACATTTGATTCTTGTTGATAATAACAAACTTTTTCTGCTTATAACAATGAGTGTTTTAATATATCCTCAATTCTCAATTGTAAACGCATTGATTTTTTTCTATTCGAGTATGAGGAGAGGTGTTGACATTTTGATGAATTTCACGACTGGTTCAAAATTCTTTAATGAAAGACATACATCGGCACCTATCGAATCACAGCATAGTCCAATTAATCTTTGATAAGCATGTAAATAACGACAAATCGATGTAGCATCAATCATCGATAAATAATAAAGAAAAACCAAATTAAAAAATAAAGCCTAAAAAGCCAAAATAAAGGAGATTAATTGTCGCTGCCTCTCTATGAACTAGTTTTAGACAATCAAACAAGTCAGTGCTGTGGGAAAACAACGCGGTTGCCTTACTTATTTTTTGAATATTTCAATAAAGAACAGAAATAAAGACTTCAATTTTCACCATTTTGCAGAATAACTATGTTTTTCTTCTAGTGTATTTAATGTTTAAAACAAGGGGGAAAAGGCGGCTTCGGAAGAATTATATCTCTATGTTTTTTAATTAAAAGCTGTAGATAAATTCTGTTTTAACTTCCAACTTTCAAGTACTCCGTTAGACGGTTCATGCCCGAACTCCGCACACTTTTAATAAACAGTGACTATATCTATATCCCAAACTCCGCACATAATTACATGAATTCGAAATGTACATGATCTCAATCTCCGAACACTTTTTAATTAGCAAGTAAACATGGACTGTAAGAAATAGAAAAATATATCATTATATCATAATATTCTTTATGAATTCGATTGTGATATTTCGTCTATATAGCGATAAGCTACTGCCCGTACACTCGACATATATTCTTCAAGGCTCATTTCACCCAGTTCATACGTTTCTTTATTTATACACAATTTAAATGCTTGATTCTCAGTTGATACATGTTGTTTCTTGCTTGGCTTTTGTCCAGTTAATTCTTGTTGATATCTCGTATGTACTAGGACTTGTTTGAATGAATTAATATCGCAGCGCTACACTCCTTGTTGATACAGCGCCATGATACTGAACCTTTTTTATTATTTCTGATGTGACAATATTGATGTGAATTATAAATGCAAACTTGTGAACCACGCTGACCGGTTTCAATTTCAAATTCCATTTCGTAAAATATTTGTGAGTACATATGTATTTTTGTGCAGAGAATATATACCATTTTAGGATTTATTTGATTACTCATTTCTGATATTAGCTGTCCCAATTTCTTCAACAGTTTCCCAGAATTTCTTGATTTTTAATCATTTGTCGTATCAGTCATCATTTATATTATTTACAGAACATTTAAATTATGTTCAAATAAAGAAGCGTAGCAGTATCTTTTCGCTATACGGACGAAATATCACAATCAA